ATGCACAGGAGATAACAGGTGTCTTGCTAGCACAAAACAGCTTAGATAAAAGACTGAACTCCTTTCAGCTAGATGTGGCTGTATAAAAGTCAGGCATGTAGTCTAAAGCTATTGTTTAGGATACCTCTTTAGTTAACTGAAAGAGTAAGTCATGCAGACTAGGCAAGTTACCTAAGTATAAAAGAAAAGGCCAAGTCATCTGATATTATTCACACCAGAAAAGAGACAACATAGGGGGTATATAACAGAAGCTTCAAAATCATGAGGAGTTGGAAAGGGTCTACTGAGACATATTGTTAAACACTTTTTTTGATGGAAGGAAAAAAGGGATGTCAAATTACAGCAGTAGGAGCCAAATTCAATGCAAAGAAACCCTGGGTGTTTGGAGTTTTCTTTTTTTTTTTTTTCCTTTCTCAGTTAGTAGTGGACCTTTGAAACCCCTACAGAAACCACACCATCATCAGGAAATCCCCTTAATGGCAAAATTAAGAATGAAGACTGAGAGATTATTAGGGAGAAAGGATCATAGATACTTCCTCTGTCCCCTATGTGCTTGTTTATGACTAGTGATGGAGACAGAACACCAAGTGATATAGAGCATTGAGATGAGTAAGTAGAACTGGTTTTATATTGTACCTTGTGGTGATTAAGACATAGAATGCTCCTCAGGACTTCCTCCTCGTTAGCTCAAGCATCTGTCTTCCCAGCACAGTATATCTATATATCCCATAAAAGTTTTCACATGTATCATAAAAGGGGCCAAAAGGTCAAAAAAAAATGTTCAATAGATGATACGTACAACACTCAGTTTTGACACCTATATCCTTTTGTACAAGTAGTTTTGGGGAACAGTCCCCATTTGCAAAGACCTCAGATGTGAGTAATTTCACTGGCTTCTGAATGGCTTGTCTGTGACTGCAAGAGACATGGCAAATAGTTATGCTTTCTCATATTCACACTTGTCCTTAAGGCACTAGAGACAAAACCTGCTTCTTTTTCCACTCCTGAGTAAGAAGACCTGACAACTTAATAATTGAACTGGGTCCTTAGCTCACTATGTTTCTGATGTGCCTCTTTAATTTATTTTGTCAGGATCTTTTTGACTTTTCTTCCACTGTTGCCATCATGTACTAGGTCCTCATAATGCCCATGAAAATAGGTTTTATCAGAATTTTCCGCTGTCATATCCTGTTCTCATATTAACCCTCTACCCCATGGTGGCTTGCAGGATCTGCCCAAATTGAACTGGCTACTTTGGGAAGCTTTGAGCTCTGTGTCTCTGCCTGTGATATTGTAAAGAAGAAAAACTATGCCAGTATTTTAATCCAAAGCATCAGCAGCACAAACAGCTCCTTAATGGCATTGTTAGATCTACTTGCCATGAAGAAGCCGAAGGCAAATGTGTCTGTGAAGTGAGTAAAGCAATAGAAAACATATCTTCAGTTGCAGTTACAAGTGAAGTTGCAGTTAATGGCTCATTGTCCAAATGGAGATTAGGAACAAGTGGTGTCCCTCAGGAGCCCACATTGGGCTGTTTAATATCTTTTTCAATGTTATAGACAGTGGGATTGAGTGTACCTTTCAGCATGTTTGTGGATGACACAAAGCTGAGTGGCGCAGTTGAAAGGGAAAGGATGACATCCAGAGGGACCTTGACAGGCTTGAGAGGTGGGCTACTGTGAATCTCACAAAGTTAAACAAGGCCAAGGGCAAGGTCCTGCACCTAGGCCAGGGCAATCACCAGTATCAGTATATGCTGGGTGATGACTGGATTGAGAGCAGTGCTGTGGAGGAGGACTTGGGGATACTGGTGGATGAAAAATTAGATATGAGCTGGCAATGTGAGCTTTCAGCCCAGAAAGCCAGCTATATCCTGGACTGCATCAAAAGAAGTGTGACCAGCTGGTCAAGGGAAGTGATTCTGCCCTTGCGCTCTCATGAGACCCCACTTGGAATACTGCATCCAGCTTGTGGTGGGTTGACTCTGGCTGATGCCAGGTGCCCACGAAAGTTTATCAGTCCCTTCCTCATCTAGACAGAAGAAAGAAAAATATAATGAAAGGGTCATGGGTCAAGATAAGGACAGGGAGACTGATCAGCTATTATTGTCATGGGCCAAACAGACTAAACTTAGGGAAATTAGTTTAATTTATTACCAATCAATGGCCAAAGCAGGATAATGAGAAACAAAAACTAAATCTTAAAACACCTTCCCCCTACCCGTCCCTTCTTCCTGGGCTCAACTTTACTCCCAATTTCTCTCCCTCCCCACCCTGAGTGGTGCATAGGGATGGGGAATGGGGATTGTGATCAGTTCATCACACGTTGTTTCTGCCGCTCCTTCCTCCTCAGAGGGAGGACTACTTACACTCTTCCCCTGTTCCAGCATAGGGTCCCTCCCACGGGAGACAGTCATCCACAAACTTCTCCAATGTGAGTCCTTCCTATGGGCTACTGTTCTTCATTTACTGCTGCACTGTGTGTCCCTTCCATGGGGCACAGTCCTTCAGGAACAGACTGCTCCAATGTGGGTCCCCCACGGGGTCACAAGTCCTGCCAGCAAACCTGCTCCAGCGTGGGCTCCTCTTTCCATAGGGACACAGGTCCTGCCAGAAGCCTGTTCCACCACAGGCTTCCCATGGGGTCACAGCATCCTTTGGGCATTCACCTGCTCCTTTCTCCTGCTGCAGTTGCTGTTGCACAGCAGTATTTTGCCCTTCTTAAATATGTTATCCTAGAGATGCTACCACTGTCACTGATGGCTTGGCCATGGCCAGTGGTGGATCTGTCTCGGAGCCAGCTGGATTTGGCTCTATCAGACATGGGGGAAGCTTCTAGCAGCTTCTCATAGAAGTCACCCCTGCAGCCCACCAACTACCAAAACCTTGACTCACACACTCAATACACAGCTCTGGGATCCCCAGCAAAAGAAAAGCATGGATCTGATATATGCGGATCCAGAAGAGGGCACAAAAAATATCAGAGAGCTGGGACAATTTTCCCATGGGGATAGGCTGAGAGACTTGGATTTGTTCAACATGGAGTAGAGAAGGCTCTGGGAAGACCTTGTTCTGGACTTTCAATATAAAAAGGGAGCTTATAAGAAAGACTGGGAGAGAGTTTTTACCAGGGCTTGTAGCAACAGGACAAAAGGCAGCTGCTTTGAACTATAAGATGTTAATTTAGATTAAATGTTAATTTAGATTAGAATTAAGGAAGATATTTTTTACAGGGAGAATGGTGAGACACTGGACCAGGCTGCCCAGAGATGTTGTGGATGCCGCATCACTGGAAATTTTCACGTTCTGGTTAGATGGGGCTCTGAACAACTTGATCTAATGGAAGATATCCCTGACTATGGCAGGGGGGTTAGACTAGATGATCCTTGAATGTCCCTTCCAAGCCAAACTCTTTTCTCATTCCATGATTTAACATGACTATATTATTTTATAGCAACCTTATGGAATGGCATTTTTTTGAAAGAGCATTTGCCATTATAACCAAGTCTATAATACAAAATAGAGGGGGAGTATATCTGTGTTGCCATGTGGAGATTTCATGCTTTCTCTAAGCCAGGCAGACTCTTTAGTTTCAGTAGAGAAATACTTCACCTGGGTCATTGGTGCCAAATGCATCTGCTGTGTAAGCTGGCTCACTGAAAGCTCCATCAGTCTGTCTCTGCACTGCATCATACTAATGAGGTAATCACTGAGCTTCTAATGAATGGGATTAGCGAATGGGCAAGGATTGTTTGTTCTGGATCCTTTGTTCAAATGCAACTCGAAGCTCTCAAAATATTTGCATGCAATTAGCTACGAGCTGGGTTCGTTTCAGCTCTTACTAACTAGATGAAAATAATTTTCATTGCTACGGGATTTGCCAAATGTGCTGACAGAGGCAGTCTGCAGTTTGTAGTGGATATAAGAACAGAGCTCTATTTGAGAAGTAAACTCTCTGTAATAATGTAAAGCGGTAGGTATCATAATTTGTAACTTCATGCCAGCACTAAGCTTGGTTGTAAAAAACATTATTCTTTTATTAATTAGCCTTTCTTAATAGCAGCTAATGAATATTTAACATTACATGTAAAGATCCAGTTATGTAGATATTGTAGGATAGATCTACAGAAAAACCACCAGAAACTCTGACTTTTGTTTCTTCACCAAACCTAACTGCATTGATTTAAGAAGTTTTACAGTTTTGACCCTGAATGAGCTTAAGCACCTGAAAGGTTTCTCAGAGCATTTTCTGTGCTCAACATTTACTGATGAAAGACTGTGTCAGCTTTTTGGAAAGGAAGCATGTAATTGAAATCAGTGCAGGTGAGAATCTAGTTCAATATTTGTTATTCTTTTCTAAATCTTGACAATAACCAAAAATCCATAACATACAGGCAATCTATGGAGGTAGCTGATTGGGTTTTTTTGGTAAAAAACATTTTTGTCAAAAGATGCAACTTTTCATGAAGAATAAAACCCATACATTTTGTGAAATTCTCTTCAATAATTCCTATGACATTTTAATTAAAACCATTTTTTAAATGCTTTATTTACTGGAGGAAAACTGCATTTGTAGTACACAACACATTTAAAGAAGAATTTAAATAGTATTTTCAATCATGTTTTCAGCAGAAAATATTGTGGGTGAAAATGGAACAAAAAAGCCAAATACTAGTTGCATTGAAACCTATGAAATGAAATTTAATGCAAAATTTGTCATTTTTCATGGGATGTCTTACCTGATTTATTTAAAACAGATTAAAGGTTTTTTCCTTTTAAAAAACTGGTAACAATATGTCTTAAAGTTTATTTGTCCTGCCCTTTCACTACTGTTTCTCATAAATTAATGTGGTGTTCTATGCATACAATGGGATTGAATAAGCATCTAATTGATGTGTTTGTAAATGGCACATATAATTGTGAAATTGCTTAGCTCAGATCTGGCAGAGCAAATTCTAAAGCAGCAGTGCACAGTATGAGAATCTGAGCTAGATTATTTTTAAAATGTACAAAAAAAAAAAAACAACAAAAAAGAATGAAATAAAACACAACACTGTTGGCTTTCATGGTTTTAAATGAGCAGAACTAGAGATCAGGAGCATGTTAAAACCACAAATAATAAAGATGAATTAACAGCTACGTATCCTACGACAACTGTATACAAAAACTGGATGCAAAGAAATAGCATTCCCCAGATACGCAGGAGACAAAATTAAAATCTGTAACATAAGGCAAAACCTGTCTGCAATGAAGGGGGAAAAAAAATTATTCACAATTATACTAACACAGTATAAAACTTAGCTCTTCTTTCATATAATTAGTGTTTGTTGACTATAGCAGTTTTAATACAATGTGATCAGTAAAGCAGACATTGACGTAGGGCCTGAATGTGAAAAGCCTTGAGAATCCATTCCACTTCACAGGGTGATCACAGGTTCTGCAAAAGCAAGAATAACTGATAAGTATTCACAGGATTCCCAGAGACTTGCTGATGTAAAGTTGTTACTGATGGAAGGGCAGCTACTCAAGGTGGTCCCAAAATGCATAGTCAACAATGAAGTAGACACCATCTCAGAAAAGTGTATTTTCACTGATTCCAGTCTAAGATAATTGTGGAAGTAGAAGTGCTGTGGAGGCTGAGAGAATAGACAAAACAAATTTATTAAGAAAACAGCCTACTCTATAGTCTACTGTAGCAAGGAAAACAGTAGATTTTGTGTTCTCTTCGATGCCAGCAGTTCCCATACCTGGAGGATGGTGCACCTAGTTTTAAAAATACATTTTCCTGGGAAGTGGACTAGGTGTAGAAGCCATAGTGTTACACTGATGCACTTTGCAGGAGAGAATATATTTTAGAAATATTGGTCTGTTTTATATTTTTCCATACAATAAAGCCAGTAGATACTTTCTCTTGATAGGAGGGACTCACTATACCATGTGTAGACCTCTACAACATAAAATGTTTACACTGCTTAATGTTAATGGAACTAAAGAGGCAATTTTTTGATGGAACTGCATGTCTCTCTCCAGCTATTATAAGAGAAGCCTCTTAGGACAGACATCAGCACCAAGATAGCACCACCAAGATAGACATCAGCACTATAGAATTTTGAGGTTAGACAAATTGTATTTTTGCACTCCCCACCCCATGAAGCAGAGATAGAAAATTAAATAGTCTATTATTGCTATTGAACCCATAGCTGAGAACAACTTTTTTCTTTTTTCTTTTTTCCTTTTTTTTTTACTAAAGGTAAAAGCCTTAGAAATACTGTTTTGACTATGTAAACTGTTTATTACTGTAAACCAACAAGGTGTCTAAATAGACCAGAGATCAGACACTTCCCTCTCCAAAAGCAACAAAATACAAAATCACACACATGTTGTTATTGATGCTAATTATTAAAATTGTTCATAATAAGATCCTATTTAGATAATCTTTTGACTTCAGATGTTTATTGTGTGCTGTGCTGCATATACAAACCGTAGAAGACAGTTCCTGCCTTGCATTCACGTAAGTACCACAAAGAGCTAATAAAAACACTCTGATGAGAAAGCGTATCTTTCTGAAGATGACATTCATCTCATCTAATTTAAGGTGTAAGTATCTCCATCTGAGTATAATGGCTCCCGGGCTCCAGGCTCCTATTACAGTAATTACAGATCTGATCAATACAGTGCATGGAGTTTTAGGGTGGGGGGACATTTGAATAAAGTCATCAGCTTCAGAATGACCTAAATTTTGCTGACTTTGACCAACATAACCTACAAAGGGATCTCCAGGATGACTGCCTCAGATGCAGAAATGTACACTGTGGACACCTAAATTTAGCTGCACAAATTCAGGAGTAGAAGCCTGTCTAATATCACAAAAGGATTTGGTAGTTACTCAAACAAGTGGAAAGGCTGAGGAAAGGGGTTGGACATCACTAGTCATATAACCTTTCCATCCACTTTGAAACAATTCTCACTTTCCTTTTCACTTAATATTTCACGATCTTTTTTCAAAGAGGAAAGACTGTAAGTGGAGTGAAAAGGAAACTACCTGAAAAGGAAGGAACATTTTTATAGGTGCCAATCAACAATATGTCCACTGCCTGTGCAAGTCACAGAATCACAGGATGGGTGAGGTAGGAAGAGACCTCTGGAGATCATCTAGTCCAACCACCAGCTCAGATCAGGGTCAGTTGAAATGGTTATCAAGGCTATGTCCAGTTAGATTTTTAATAGCTCCAAGGTTGCAGACTCTGCAGCTTCTCTGAGCAACACGTTTTCCTCTTTGACCATCTTACAGTAAAAAAAGCGTTTTCTCATGTTTAACAAATTTTCATATATTTCAGGTTGTGCCAATTGCCTCTTGTCTTGTCAGTGGAAACCAATGAGAAGAGTCTGTTTCCATCTTCTTTATAGCCCCCAACAGACATTTATACAGATGGATAAGTTCCTCCCGAGCCTTCCCTTCCCCAGTCTGCAGTCCCAGCTCTCTCAGCCTCTCCTCATGTCAGATGCTCCCATCCCTTAATCATCTCCATGGCCCTTTGCTGGACTCATTCCAGTATGTCCATGTCTCTCTTTTGTCCTGGGGAGCCCAGTACTGGACATAGCACTCCAGATATTTCTCACCACTGATCACCTCCCTGGACCTGCTTACAACACTTTGCCTAAGATATGTGTGTGTTAGCATCACAGAACTGTCGACTGGTTGTCTGGATTTCTTAGCGCTGTCCTCAGTGCAGTCTCCTTCATGCCAAGCAATCAATGACTGCATGACGCAAACGCAGTCAGTCAGTAAATGACAAATTCAAGTCAATCACTAACAGATGCCTGCTTTAAATAAGCTGGCCATGCTCCTTTATGAGTAGTGTGTGGATGTATGCATGTGTATGCACATATATATGCATGTGTGTGTGCGAGTGAGTGAGAGAGCTTACCTGTAGGCACACACATGCCTGTGTACAGGAGAGAAAGAATGCAGCCTAATCAAATCCTATGGACCCTGGACAGGCTTTTTCTCTGAGGACTAGGATGAAGGGCACCATATGTTTGACATGAAAGCAAACCCTTCGACCAGCACAGGCCATTACTCTTGGCAGGCTCTGCAGCTACTGGGGATTATGAATCTTGATTTGCAGTCAGGGAAAATATTCAACATTGCAAAATCTATTTAAATTAGAAATAGATAATCTATAGACTTGTCTCTTGAGTGTAACAAGAGAGATTCTCCAGACACAATCTAACTAAAAGTTATATAGGGACAAAAAGACAACAGACTTAATAAAAGTTTCTGGTTTAGTTGAGGATAAAAATGAGTTATATTGTGTTACTGAAAAAGAGTTCTGTCATACTCTTAGGTTTTGATTAAAGAGGCTTTTTTACTATTTGCTGTAGTAATAGTTATGCTGAGTTTAGTAGTTCTAGTCATGGACTATACAGTCTTGTGTTAGCTTCTATGCAAATAAAGAAATAAATTACAATCCCTAGGGGAAAAAAAAATTAAAAAAAGTTGTGGTAGGTCTTTGTTTTACTTATATCTGGGGAACTTTACCAGTAGAAAGCTGGGTGAATTGAGCCTTTGTCCATCCATATTTCAGTGACTCATTTTTATTACCTTCATAGTCAATGAAAGGAAACAGTCATATTTATCTTGACTTTTTTTTTTTTTTTTTTTTTCATGCATAAAGAGAGAGGACAAGAAAGGAAAGGACAAATGAAAAAAGACCCTGCTGCTATCAGCTATTAAAATTACTCTACTGTGCAGGCTAACAGACCTCTTTACTGTGAACTGCAAAAAGACTGTAAAGAACTGCTCCAGTTGTATGGTAGCTCTAAGTTGCAATAGGAACCTGAGCAATGGATCCCTCCTACGGCACTCCTTGGCTTCAGAGAAGCATCTTTCACGCCTTGTGGTCTACAGTGTAGACTCTGCTCATCTATTCAGTCTAGGCTGTTCTGTTTGTGAATTAAAAGCTAATCTCATAGGAAGATAAATTCTCCAGAATGATAAACCACTTTGTTCCTACCTGCTGTTGTTTCAAAAGAAGTGTGATCTCTGTCTTTCTTCTAAGTAAATGTGATGACACACATCACACTTTGTAAGTTCTGATGATACAACTTCTGACTTTTGCAAATTTATACAGATTTAAGGCTTTTTCATAGACATTGACCTCAGTGAAGTTCTCTGTTGAAGTAGGCTCATGCAGATAATTTGTAGTCCATTATTAATAGTAGTCGACCATTATATGTGCAGAGATTTTTAGCAAGTTGGATGATTTCCTGAAAGTGTTAAACAATGGCATTCACTACAAGCTGACTGAGATAACCAAAGAAGGCCTATGATATTATCAAGTGGAAGTCTGCATCACTGAAAGACGAGAGCTGATCCAAAGCTCACTAAAGTCAGTGCAAACACTCTCACTGACTTACCTAGTTTTGCATCAGGCCCATATGAAAGTTCTGACAGTTGCTCTGCAAAGTCATAGCTTGTAAACCCACACTGGTGAATTAAGTCTGATGGATTGTCCAAAGGATGAAGAATATAGGGCAGAATGAAGAGATGGATTTTGGTACTGCATACTGAAAACATGGACATGGAAACAGCTCTTCAGAACTATTCATAGCCACCTTTTCAACATGTCAAACTCAGGCAGAGAGTGAGCATTTGCCAAAGCTGGACCCTCAGCACAGGTATCCTGAGCTGCAGCCAACAGAAAGGAAATGTTAGGCCCTCATATCAATTTTGCCATTTCTGCTCAATTCAGGGTTTTTTAGTTTTTTTTTTTGTTTGTTTGGTTGGTTGGTTGGTTTTTTTTTTGTTTGTTTGTTTGTTTGCATGTTTGCTTGTTTTGTTTTGTTTTTTTGTTTTCTCCAATCATTGCTCCAAATCATGTTCCAGTTAACCTGTTTTCAAGGCACAGATGTCTTTTGATGTTCACATATGTAAATCTACACTGATTAAGCCCATGTTCTGTCACAATATATTGTATTTATCTGCTTTCCTCTGAAATTGTTCTATACTCTATACCAGTTTCAGATGTAAATTGGAAAGTAGCTTCCAAATATGACAGAGCTGAAATCCTGCAATACCATCTCAATCATGATAAAGAACCTAAACTCATCAGAAAGGTGGATAGTGGAGATAGCACCTTGTAACATGAGGATACAAGTTTTCTGTTTCTGAAAATTCTCAAGAGAATGTTGAAGAAAAAGTAGGAAGCCTCTGGCTGTTTACATTTTTACACCTCTAGTCACTTGTAGTTGTTAATGTTCTTTTTCCTTATGCACCAGAGAACTGAGATGAATGTGCACAGCATGGTAGCTCTGAGAGGTGCAGAAATCTCTCAGATTTTCCAGACGTGTGGTGGGTTGATCTTGTCTGGATATCAGGTGCCCACCAAAGTCTCTCTATCACTCCTCTCCTCACTGTACAGAGGAGAGAAAATA